GGGGAGGTGCGCGGTGCTGTGGGGGGGGGGGTGGTCCTGGGATCCATCCCCCAGGTCTCCCGACCCAGCAGCATTTCATCCCCTCTGCATCAGGAGGGAGAGAGGAAAGCAAGAGGGAGACTGAGAAACAGAGAAAGAGCAGAGGGAAAGGAGAAAGTCTCCTGCCGGGGTAGGAGAAGAGAGACAAGGAGCTGGCAAGGACCCCAGAAGGAAGGAAGCAGCCGTAACGCTGAGGTTTAGCTCTCTAATACTGAATGCTTCTGCCTTGGCAGTGCCCAAGGAGCCAGGAGTAAAGTCAGAACAGGCTTTAACATCGGACCCCAAATCGTCCTCAGCTCTCCGCTTTTCCCAGGCTCATAGCCTGGGGGCCAGCTGCAACCCCTTGTCCTCAGCAGCCGCTCCTGAGCCCAAGCTCGGGGACCACGTAGCAGCTACAAAATCAATCTCAGGGTGCAGAAGTGACACAGCCATCCCCGGGCCGACAACGCTCTGCAGCCGTTCAGCTCAGAAACCAGCTCAAAACCCAGCACCTGCATCCCTGTCCCCAGCGGGGGCCACCCACCGCGTCACCGGGGGGAAGGAGCAGCCAGCTCGTCCCTCCTGGACACACGGGGGATGGGGATGCGGGAGATGCCACCGCGGCTGCTGAGCCGTCCTGGGCTGGGCGAGATTCCCCAGGGAGCTGGAGGGACCAACGCAGCTGGGAAGGGGGAAGGAGGAAAAGCAAAAACACTCAGCCGGCTTTGCCAAGCAGGGGAGATAAAAATCAGCAGAGATGCAAAAATCTCTCATTTCCTCCTATTTTGGCTAAGAGATTGCTCCAGACGGCAGCAATTTAGAGCTGATATCGAGACGAAGGGCTCAGTGTTGCACAAGACCTGGCAGGAGAAGACGAGTCTTGCAGGGTGGTGTGAGGCTCTCCGGGTACCTTTTATTTAATAAAAAGCTCTGGATACAGGATTAACATCCTCTGTTCGGTATTAGTGTGCTTGATCAAGGGGCCTGCGAGGGTTTTGTTACGGAGATGTTTATTAGCCCCGCAGCATCCTCTCCCAACGGGCTCAGAATAAATTCGCTTTTAAATTTGCAACACCGAGAAGGGTCATGAACCAGCACCAGCACCCAAAGCCAGGCATCACGCAGGGGTGGCCAGGGGTGATGGGGGACAGACCTGCCCGATAAATGCAGGGGGATGGAGGGTGCCCCGGGGTGGGGAGACGCCGCGCACTAACCTTCGGGGCGCTGGATGCAGGTGTGCTGGTTGTCGCTGAGGAAGAAGCCCTCCCGGCAGAAGCACTCGTAGCTGCCCATCATGTTGACGCAGGTCTGCTGGCAGCCACCGTTGCCCTCCGAGCACTCGTCCAGGTCTGCAAAGGCAAGGTGGCAGGGGGTGAGCGCGGCTCCGTGGCACGCCGAGGGGATGGGGAACCGGGTGTGACAGATGTGCTAGGTGGCAAAATATTTCTGCTTTACATCCGTGATCCCCCAGCTAGAAGAAAGGCGGATGCTTTAGGGCTGCAGGGGATGATGGCAAAGCACATCAAGGGATGGGTCGCAGAGGCCATACAGCTTCCCCGGCCGATGGGCAAAAAAAGTCTGGCCTCATTTTACAGAGGGGAACACCAAACCACAGAGAAAGGGATTTTCCTTGTCCCTGGACCCCCAAAGCACCCAGGATGCTCGGCCAGGACGCTGGCTGCAGCTGCCCCCGGCTCCCAGCCCCTCCGAGCCCGTCGCCGGCTGGGGATGCCTGCACTTCATTAGGGGGAGCTGGGAAACCTTAGCCTGGAGTGGGGATAATTACTTGTAAGGAGACTCAAATCCCCAGCAGCTCTGCTGCCCTCGTGCCTGTTTTGGTTTAACAAACCAAGGCTGGAAGGGGCTCGAAGTGCACACCCGTGGCAGCGGCGATGCCCTTGCCCTGGGCTGCTCCCGCTCTGTCCCTGCAAATCCCTCATTTAATGAAGAGCAACAGCCCGTTGCTCTCTCCAGAGGATTTTTGGGGACAGTGGTCCAAGCTGAACCTGCCGGTGCCCCGGGGTGCCAGAGCAACCAGGATGCCGGGCTCGGGCAGAGAGGCAAACCTCCGCCGTGGCCGCCCCTGCCCCCTCCGCCGGGCGACGGCGTCGGGCTGGGGAGCGAGGGGCCCTGTGCCAAAGAAAACCTCCCGTGAACTCGAGCGTTGCAGAGCCGGCGGCCGAGGGGAAAGCTGAGCCCCGCCAGCATCGACCGCTGGAAACGCCGGAATATAGCGGTCTGGGGACCGCCCGACCGGGGGGGGGGGCTCCCAGCCCTGGCCCCCCCAGCACAGCCCTCCTCCCTGAGCGGCACGGCATGCACTGAAACCCCTTGATTTTGGGCAAAGAGATGGATGCCCAGATGGATGCCTGAGCAGCACGGGTGCCTTGCACCGTGTCCCAGCCCCAGGCAAGCCCCGGGAGATGCTGCAACCCCAGGGGATGCTCAGAAGTCAAAGCAGCTGCAGCTCCAGCTGGAAACTGCTGGAGAACCAGAGCCCAGGAGCACCCCACAAACCCGCTACCTTGGAAAGGAGGTGTTGAAAACATCATCTCACACCCGAGCGCCCGCAGGGCAGGCTAGGGCCGACAGCCGGGCTGCAGCCAGACACAAAAGGGACGTCCTCTGTGACGGCAGGAGGCTTGCAGCTTCCTCCAAGGCTCATCCCAGCCGAGCTATGTCCTGCAGATGCCAATAACTCTCCTCAAATCCCCCCGCTTATAACAAGGGCTTAACGTCTTGCGACTTCGCCTTCAAGCTCCGCACAAAAATGAGGAGGCAGCCGTTCAAACCCGATGGCTGAAACGAGACTCCGCCACTCTAATACCTGTTTTATTAAATACAACGGAGGTGGGCAGAAGCCAGCAGGGCCTGTGTCAGCATGGGGGCTTGAATTCCTGTCCTGGTTCAAAAGGTCGCCCGGGGTGGGCGATGGGGGGACTGGCGGGCTCCGGCGGGCACGCACCCCGATCCACCTCCGGCTCGGCCACTGCCCCCAGTGCCAGCAAAGCCCGGGCACGACCCTCTGCTTTGCTTTGCTTCTGGATTCCTTCCGGCTAAGAGGGGATGCTTGCAGGCTGGGCAAAGCACGGTCAGGATGGGGGGGAAGGAGGATGGGGAAAAACCTGCTGGGGTTCATCTCTGCTGCCCCCCAAGAGCAGCTGCTGAGCCAAACCCAGCCGGAGAGCAGGGGGTCTCAACATCCTCACCTATAAAATGGGCTCCAGGGGATAAACCTGCACCATCCCTACAGCAAAGCAACGCGGCGGCTGAGATGCTGGGATGAGCCAAGGAAAGACTCAAGGGAGGAGCCGGGGCTGCCCCCCCAGGTCCCCCCTCGCCGGCTGCTCCCCAGCCACCTCCATCCCCTCCCACCCAACTCTGTAAACACATGACGTCTGCAGCTCACCGAGTCCGGCTTTCCTTTCTTCTCCTCGGGCTCATCCTCCCCCGGGAGAGGAAGGCAGAGCTGCCCACCCGCGCCCCCTCCCAGCTGTGTAAATCTCCCCCCTCCCCAAGGAGGCTGCAAAGATCCCGGTGATGGTGGTTAATGCAAAGCATATGTGTCCATAATCCCTTCCCCCTCCTCCTCCTCCCAGTGATGAGCTCATTAATGACCCCTCTGCAGACACTAATTAGAAAATAGCATGAGCTCCAGGCGGAGGGAAGGCGGGCGGCCCTGTGCCCCGGTGATCCCACCCGCGGGTGCCGTGGGAGGAAGCGGGTGCCGGGGCGCGGGCAGCCCGGCCGGCCCCGGGGCTCTGCCGGGAGCTTTGGCTTCGCCGCAGCCGGATGGAGTTTGGGGCAGTGGGAAGTGGTGGGGAGGATGCACGGCCACTCCGTAGGCAGATGCCGGGTTTGTCTTGGCCCGGTGATTATTTACCCAGTCCCTTCGCTGGTTCCCATCCCCACCATATTTGCTATTAACTCATCTATTTTGGCAGGTGCAGGGCTGACCTCAAGCACGAGCGGAGTGAGCGGCAGGGCCCGGGTGAGCCCTGCCGGCTGGTCCTGCCTTCGGCAGCGGAGCAGAGTTGCCGGCCCAACCGCTCGCCGCAGCAGGATGCGGCCAAGGGAAGGCTGCGACTCGCGCCCAGCATCCCCAAACCCAACCCTCCCAGTCTTGCCTTACCCCAACCTCCCCCAGCCTATGGATGGATCCATGGAGCAAGTTTTTCTCCCAGCACGGAGCATCCTCCCTCGGCATCACCCCCGTGCAATGGGGAGCAATCCTGTCCCCGGCGAGCCATCGCGGCACGGGTCGTGTCTGCAGCCGGCTTGCTGCCCTGGGAGTGCCATCACGGTCCCCCAGCTCTGCAATGGGTCTTGGGGGGGGGGCAGAGCTCGGGAGGTGCCCGGCAAAGACAGCCAGCAGGCTGGTCCCAAGGTGCCAGAGCTGCCGAGCGGCTGCGACACGCTGGCATCGCACCCCGACGCGTGCCGGGGGCCCGTCCCTCACCTAAGCAGTTGTGGCCGTCGTGTGCCAGGCGGAAGCCGTCGTAGCAGGTACAGCGGTAGTTGCCGGGGATGTTGACGCACTCGTGGACGCAGCCGGCGTTGTCTTCCCGCTCGCACTCGTCAACGTCTGCAGAGAGAGGAGGGCAGGAGAGCTGCGGGGCTGCCCCGGCTGAGGACGGCCAACTCGCTGCACGGGTGCTGCTCCCCATTTCCAGCGTGTGTGCGACCCAGCTGATATCGCGCCCTGCAGTCTCTGCTTATTCCAGCAGGTCTCCAGCCCCGTTATCACCTACGATCACCTATCAGAGCTTCCCTCCACACCCTGCAAAAACATCCCATGTCCTCCCCAGTCTAGACCCTGGACTTCCAGCTAACCCACCGTCTTAAAGCCTCGGCACAGCGCGGCGACCTGCCGACTGCTCTGGGAATCACACGGGATTTCCCGACGGTGGTGGGCAGAGCAGCCCGTCTCCATGGCAAAGCCTTGCTGTGCCTGGAGCGTGCTTTAATCCCTCTGCTATTTGTACTCAGCCCATCCCAACCCTGGACCCGCTCCGAGCAGAGCCGGGAATTTTTCCCCTGCCCCACTCCTGCTTTCCTGGTGCTGCTCCTCCAAGGAGCCCATTTTCTTTCTGTGCCCCACTCAGCTGCTTATATCTACATCCATATCTACGTCTATACCTACATCTATGTCTACAGCTGTATCTATATCACCTATATCTATATATCTTATTTTTAAGCTCCTCATGTTTTATCTGCTAACCCAGTTTTGCAGCCTTTGGGTTGGAAATCCTGCAGTTAAAAAAAGCCCAGCTTTGTTTAAAACAAGCCCCAGGTGATCCTTCTGGGCCTAGGCAGCCCCAGCCTTGCAAACGTGGCTCTTTGCAGAGCAGGGGAGGGAGCACGACTGCTGCCACCGCCGCTGACAGGGACGGTCATGCTCCTCTCCATCCCCGTGCATTGCAGTGTCAACAGGCCAGGAGTTTGGGACAGAAAAGGGGAATAAAAGGTTTGCAGTGGGCTGGGGTAAACAAGCAGCCTTTTTGCAAGGGCAGAGGACATTGCTGACGAGCCACCGCCTGCCTCCGACCTGCCGGGGCTGGCACTCGTCAGAGGGGCTCCGGCTCCGGTGGCGGTGGCGTGCTCCTACCTTTGCAGTGCTTCCCGTCGCCGGTGTAGCCGGACTTGCAGATGCACTTGTAGGACTTGGGGGTGTTCTGGCAGATGGCGTCGATGTGGCAGTTGTCGGTGCCCTCCACACACTCGTCGACATCTGCAAGGGGAGAGGAGGGGGGAGCGATGGGGAGAGCCGGGGGGAGCTCTCCCCGTCTCCCCATGGGAGCCATCACCCGAGGCGATGAAACCAAGCAGCCCGCCGGCTTTTCAACCCGCACGTGAACCAGAAAGGCTCGAGGGAGCAACGCCGCTGCTTTGCTCCTTAGCGGCTTCGCCGCACCCAGCCCTGACGCAATGGGTGATGGGCTCAGGATGGGGCGCTGGAGCGGCAAACGGGGGGGAGCTCTCCCCGTCTCCCCATGGGAGCCATCACCCGAGGCGATGAAACCAAGCAGCCCGCCGGCTTTTCAACCCGCACGTGAACCAGAAAGGCTCGAGGGAGCAACGCCGCTGCTTTGCTCCTTAGCGGCTTCGCCGCACCCAGCCCTGACGCAATGGGTGATGGGCTCAGGACGGGGCGCTGGAGCGGCAAACACTCCCGAACAGCACTGCCTGTGTCCCCACCCTCGTACAAGCCACCCTGAGACTCCCCGACCCTTTTGCGTGTCTGATGGTAGGAAACACCGCTCAGGCGCCCATAGTCCAGGCTGGAGCCAGCCCAGGCAGAGGTGAAAGCCTCTGTCTCCAATTAGCCATTTCCTGAGCCGACCAGTCACCCAAATAATCGTCATCGCTTTCTATTCTTAGGCGCGGAGGAATGTGCACGAATTAGCAGGGACCACATTAAATAAACCTGGGAGCCGGGAGCGGGAAGCAGGAGGGAGAACTGGGAAAAACATGAAGGTTTCCTCGGGGGCACAGCCAAAATCCGCGTACCCCTCATCCCCCTTTGCCCCTCAACCCACTTATCCGGGGTGCAGCGCTGTGGTACCCGGGACATCACGTCCAGAGCATCACATGCCGGTGATGGCCTCAAGCAGCAATGCCCAAGGGTTTGCCACCGCAGGAGGCTGCGGGAGCGGAAGTTTTAATGATATTTGGGAAACAGAGAAGCCTCGAGCGCGTGGGGCGGAGGTTTATGAGCAAGAGGCTGCTCACCTGGCCGCTCTCTGCCTTCCCTACGCAGGCAGTAAGGGAGACGTGGTGCCCCGGCGTGGGCACATCCTCCTTCTCTGGCTGTGAACGCCTGGCAGTGGTGTAAGGCAGCTGGGTGCCCCCGGGGGGGCAAGGTGGGGGCTGAGCATCGCCCGCGGCCCCTTGGGTACAGGTAGGGCTCCCAGAGCACGCCGGGCTCCCTGCTCCGACTCCACGGGCACGTGGGGAGTGTCGACGCTGCTCCCGGGGGGGGTTAACCTCCGCCGCCTCCCACGGGGATGGGGAGGGTCCCATCAGGGAAGGGGGATCTGAGGGTCCCTTCAGCTTCCCTGTACCCCATAAAGACGAGCCTGAGGCTGCGAAGCTCTAAGCTGCCTTTAAAAAGCTGCTTTTCAGCAACCCCAAGAACAGAAGTGCTCCGGGACGTCCCGCCGCCTCCCACGGGGATGGGGAGGGTCCCATCAGGGAAGGGGGATCTGAGGGTCCCTTCAGCTTCCCTGTACCCCATAAAGACGAGACTGAGGCTGCGAAGCTCTAAGCTGCCTTTAAAAAGCTGCTTTTCAGCAACCCCAAGAACAGAAGTGCTCCGGGACGTCCCCAAAGACATGAAACATCCCCGCAAGCCACAGG